TAGGCCTTCAGGTATCCATCCCAGACTGAACCAGCCCACCCTGCCCCTCACCACTCAGTGCTCATATCCCAGTCTGGCTCCCTCCTGGATATGCATCCTGCCTTGGGCTCTGAGAACACTTCAAGCTTCAATCCTCCCCGACCTTATAGACACTTAACTATGGGCCTCTAAAGCACGGGGACAGTGCAGATAACAGGCCCCTCAGAGCCGGGAGGTCTCAGGGCCTCCCACTCCCGTGGGAGGCTCAGTCATTGTCCCATAGCTGGCCTGACCATTGTCACCCACCCGGCCACCCACCACAGCCTGGGGACAAGCGCGGCCTGGGGCTGGCTGGCTGCACACCAGCTGCCCACGCCATTCTAGACTTTGCTTCCAGAATGTCTAAGTGCTCAGTCCCTGCCCTGTCCCAGGCTCCGGCCTCACCCTGGCCTTCCCTTCCAGAACCAGCCAGGGTATCTGGCTGTGGCATCTTGGGCAAGTGGCTCAACCTCTCAGGGCCTTAGCTCTCTCACCTGTAGATGGAATTTACAATATTGCTTCTCAGGGTGGCTCTGGGGACTGAGTTAGTCCACAAGACTGACCTTCCCATCAGTGTCTGTGTGACATGGAGGACGATAGCCAACAACACAGCGCAGACAGACAGACAGACAGACAGAATGTAAACCTGAACTTGTCACTTCTCCCACTAAAATCCTGCTCTTTCCTACCAGGGGGCGTGGCCACATGCCCAGAGGTGGCCCCTCAGTCCCCAGGACCTGTCAGGCTCCTCCCACCAGCCAGTGTTGACCTGTGGGAGGGTCTTTCCTGCTTTAGAGGACAGGCTCACTCTGGGCCTGGAACCTCACTCCCAGCCCTGGCCAATTGGCTCCTGGCGTCTCTCCTCCGGATACAGAGCCCATCACGAAAGACAGGCTTCCGGGTGAGGGGGCTACGGAGGTGGGTCAGGAGGCAAAAGCTTTGGCTGTGCAGCAGAGACGACCTGGTTCCATTCTGGGCACCCCTGGTGGAAGGACGGGAGATGCCCAGGACTGTCTTCTGACTTTCACAAGCAAGCCGTGGCATGTGTGCATACACTCACACCATAAATGAAAAGAGAATCACAGTGAGCGTGTAAACACCACGAGGCAAGGAAAGCGTAATGGTAGGCTGCTGCTGGCTCTGTGGTAAGGCACTTGCCTGGTGTGTGTGAGGCCCTAGGTTCAGTCGGCACCACCACAAAAGGGAGAAAACAACTGAGGGGTGCAGGAGTTTGGGGACCAAGCCTGTCTTAGCAGCGGAAGTCGAACTCTAATGTATACAAATTGGCCATCTGTAGGGAGGTGTTAGGTACCCTTAATATTTTTTTTAAATAATTTATTTAACTTTATTTCATGTGCGCTGGTGTGAAGGTGTCAGATGCCCTGGGACTGGAGTTACAGACAGTTGTGAGCTGCCATGTGGATGCTGGAATTCGAACCCGGATCCTCTGGAAGAGGAGCCAATGCTCTTAACCTCTGAGCCATCTCTCAAACCCCCCCTTAATATTTTTTAAAATGTTATTGTGTTTGTGTATATTCAACACGACATGTATGGAGGTCACGGGACAATTCTGGGGTCGAGTCTCTCACTTCCGTGTGGCTGCTGGGGATGGAGCTCAGGTCACTGGGCTTGCATGGCGAGCCTGTCTACACACTAAGACCTCTGGGCAGCCCATTAGACATTTTTTTTTTTTTTGGACATTTTTCTTATTTGACCTTCTAAATCAGAGTCCATGGCTAAAAGGTTGAGAGGACTTTGAAGACGGGGTTTGTCTCTGTATAGCTCTGAGCCCTGGCTGTCCTGGAACTCACGCTGTAGACCAGGCTGGTCTTGAACTCACAGAGATCTTGCTGCCTTGCTGGGATTAAGGGCGTGCGTCAGCCACCTGATTTCTAAACTCCTGATCCACCCAGTCACAGATGACTACAGACACTTTCCAGCCTGTGGAGCAATTCTGAAAGGGTCTAGAACAGCTTGGCCAGTATGGGTTTTGGTGGCCTCTCTGGGACCTACTTTTCCCCACTCCACTCCCTATGTCTTTTCTGCAAAGAAACAAACTCGCCAGTTTCTGAATGAAGGCAGAGTCAGCTTTGCCGGGACTGAGTTCATGCTTTGCCCTCCGGTCACCTGGCCTCACAGCTTAGCTGTAAACCCAACACTCAAGGACCTCTCCTTTGCTGAACACAAGTCTTAACTTCTCTAGATGGATCTGTCTGCACAGAAAAACCTCAGAGCTCTCGGCCCATCCAGTCTGTTTCCTTTTCACTCTGGTCTCCTGGGCACGGTGTATTTGAAATATTTTGATATGTAGACTCCAGAGCTTGCACGGTGCCACCCCCGTCCTTTCCTAGAAAGCAATAGCAGGCAGAAGCTCCTCTGTGATCCCCATGGCCAGCAGCAGATACCTGGCTGGCTGCTTGGGGAGAGAGGCCTGAGAGTTAGTTAGGTGTCTTTTTCTACTTGGCAGAGTTGGTAATGTCCCAGAATCTAATCAAGTTCAAAAGCATTAGAAAAACTCTAGCCAGTGATTGTTGGCTGCCCTAATGACATCAGGCTGGAAACCATGGCAACCCCAGGCTTCTCAGATTAGGCCCTGGTCTGTCCAGTTCAGCTCTATCTGCTGATTCCCAAGGCTTTGCTTACTCAGCTCTGGCGTGTGCGGTGCAGGCTCACCCCATGCCTGGGTGCATCTCCTCTATGCTTGCAACCTTGCCCGCCCTCCAGCTGCTCTTTTCTGGCAAAGCCTCGGGGGTATTTAATGTGCAAGGCTTTTCCAAAGAGGCCCTACAGATCACATGGGTTTCCCCTCTCAGCACAGATGGTCCCCTTGTTTATTTTAGCCACTGTTGAAGCTGGGCTTGTCAGCAAAGTCTGGTTCTCTTCGCTGGGCCATGCCAGTCAGGGCAAACCAGGGGCTCTGAGCTGGGCTGCATTCTCAGAGGCATCTCTTACACAGACACCAGTTTAGGGTTCATGCATTTTAAAAGCTGTGAACTTGCTGGGTGGTGTTGGCTTGGTGCCTTTATCCCAGCACCTGGGTAGCAGAGGCAGGCAGATCTCAGTGAGTTCCAGGACAGTCAGGGCTACACAGAGAAACCCTGTCTCGAAAAAAACAAAACCAAAAAAACTCTGAATCTAGCCAGATGTGGGGGTGCATATTTTCTTTGATATTTCTTTTTAAGATTTAAGAAGCCTCCCCCCTTCCCCGTAACAGTCCTAACTGTCCTGGAACTTACTTTGTAGACCAGGTTGGTCTCAAACTCAGAGATCTATCTGCTTCTGCCTCCCAAGTGCTGGGATTAAAGGCGTGTGCCACCACCACCTGGCTTCAAAGAAGCATTTTGCTTGCATGTGTGTTTGCATGCATGTGCACCATGACTGTGCCTGTGGAGGTCAGAAGAGGGCACCAGAATTATGGCTAGCTGTGAGGCACCAAGCAGTGCTAGGAATCAAAAGTGGTTGTCTCTCTCTACAAGAGCAGCAATGCTCTCCACTACTGAGCCAAGTCTCTAGTACCTGGCTGCACTGGGGCGGCAGAGGCAGGAAGGGAAACAGACCCAGGCTAGACTTCCCCACAAGGTGGTTTCCGCGCAGGTCCACCACTACGAAAACCATTGCCAGACCAGAAGAGACTCGCCCCTGGAATCCCAACAGAGGATCTCAAGCATGGCAGCCTAAGCTATACAGTTAGTTCTGCGCCAGCCTGGGCTAAGATAAGATGCTGTGGAGTGGGAGAGTGGAGAGAAAAGAGGAAAGTAAACAGGAAATGGAGGGAAAACCCCCCACCTCCTGGAGAGGGTTCAGGAACTTGCTTCAGCAGCTGAGTGCTTAGGTGACAGAGCCCTGGTTCATCCAGCAGCCTTTCCCATAGCACATTCAAAGGGGCTCTGTAGTGGCATTTCATTTGTATTTTAATAAGTAAAGCTTTGCCTGAAGATCAGAGAGTAAAACAGCCCCGCTGGTCAGCCTATCAGGCAGTAGCCACACTAGTTGTCATAGAAACTGGGCGGTGCACACCTTTAATTCCATTCTGAGAGAGGATTATAAAACGGGAGGAGACAGCTCTCACAGTCTCGTTCTGAGATTCCTGGAGACAAGATCACCATTTTGTACTGAGGTAGAGGTAAGAGCCAGTGGCTGGCTGCTTTGCTTTTTGGATCTTCAGGCTGAACCTCAATTTCTCTGAGTTTTATTGTGGTCCAGGGCTCTTTATCTACACCATCTGATTTGCACACTATGATGTATGGATCAGGCAGTTCTTATCATCAAGGAGGTCCAGTACAGGATGCAGCAGCCTCCCTGCTCCTGGCCTCTTACCGCACTCCTCTCTGTCCAGGCTCTGGAAGAGCCCATCACTCCAAGGACCCGGGCTTGTTCCCACAGCTCTTCAGGGCCACTTTCTTGGGCCTTGTCTATGATTTCCGTGGGACAGTGATTATGGGAACAGCAGTCCACCTAAGTCTAGGAAATAATTCCTAGATTCTGATTTTAAGAAGCCACAAAAACTAACTTGGAATTTGTTGTTGTGTGGTTCTGTGGAGTTCTTACGTATGTAACTTGTACTTCTAAGATTCCAGGGGACCAGAACAGACCATGTAAACGGAAACTTCACACAAACACACATGTGATCCCAGCACTTGGGAAACTGAGGCAGAAGGATCATACATGAGGTCAGCCTGTTCATAGCAAGATCCTGGCTCAAAACAGAAACAAAACCCCAAAAAGATGGCACAGAGAGTCCAATCTCTTCCTTGCCCCAAATGCACTGATACCACAATCACATGGACACTGTTGCAGGTCTTACCAAGGCCAGGTTCCACAGCAAGAGCTCTCCCCAGAGTAGGTTCCCAATGACTGCTCCTCACAGCCACCTACCCAATGCCCACAGATCCCTCTACTGTTGATACCAGGTCTCTACTGGTGGGGACCCACAAGTGAAGGTTAGCTGAAAGCAGCTTTATGGAAAAGACAAGCTGGAGACCTACATTTCAGGGTCTTTATTCTTGTGAAGACAGGAAGATCTGGGGAGGGCACAGAAGAGAGCTGGTGCAAGGCTAAGGCTGTGCACATCTGCCATCTCAGAAATCAGAAGCAATGGAGCCCACAGGCACCTGCTTGAGCAATGTGAGATGACCCCACTCCCCACCAAATAGACACAACACAAGCTAAAGCTAGATATAAATAAGGGACAGCTAATTAGTGAGTCCTTATATGGTCTAGAGGGTTTCAGACCAACCAGGCTGCTGCAGTTCTGTCTCCTAATGGGTTTTTCTTTTTCTTTTTTTTTTTTTTTTTAATACTTATTATGTGTACGATATTCTTTCTGTGTGTACACCTACAGGCCAGAAGAGGGCACCAGGCCCCATTACAGATAGTTGTGAGCCACCATGTGGTTGCTGGGAATTGAACTCAGGACCTCTGGAAGAGCAGGCAATGCTCTTAACCTCTGAGCCATCTCTCCAGCCCCCTTTTTTTTTTTTTTGATTTTTTGAGACAGTGTTTTTTTGCTTGTGTGGCCCTGGCTGTCCTGGAACTCACTCTGTAGATAAGGCTGGTCTTGAACTCACAGAGATCCTCTGGTCTTTGCCTCCCAAGTGCTGGGATTAAAGGCATGTGCTACCACTTGCCAGGCTTCCTAACGCGTTTTTCAAATGCCAAGGCCAAAGATGGGGTCCAAGCAGACAAGACCAGGCACGCGCAGGGTGGTATGGTCCCAGACAAGACAGAAATAATCAATGGTATGCGTGAACATAAACATTATTAATCCTTTCCCAGGCTGGAATGGTCTTTGAATATGATCCTGCTAGAAGGTGAAATCCTGATGTGTCAGTCACGACAACTCAAGAAGTTCCTCAGCGGCCTGATTATTTTTCATCCACAAAAATGACCTGACCCAGTCACTTCTAATTACAAAATAGGCTCAGGAAAAAAATGGCGCTGGCAGTAGCTTCCAGGTACCTAGAAGAAAGCATTGGCAGCAAAGGTTTGCCCAAGTCAGGCACAAGGTGTCTGTTCACTGGTTGGTGGACCTGTGGCAGTGTGTCCTGCCTCAACAGCGGAGTCAATCAGAGCACACCTAGACTTACAGAACCATCTGGAGGCTTTCTGGATATCAGAGCGACTTCTTCAACATAAAGTCTCATGATTATAAAGGTGTCTGTTCACAGGTTGGTGGACCTGTGGCAGTGTGTCCCGCCTCAACAGCGGAGTCAATCAGAGCACACCCAGACTTACAGAACCATCTGGAGGCTTTCTGGATGTCAGAGCGACTTCTTCAACATAAAGTCTCATGATTATAAAGGTGTCTGTTCACAGGTTGGTGGATCTGTGGCAGTGTGTCCCGCCTCAACAGCGGAGTCAATCAGAGCACACCCAGACTTACAGAACCATCTGAAGGCTTTCTGGATGTCAGAACGACTTCTTCAACATAAAGTCTCATGATTATGATGGCAGAGAAAGTAACAGAGCACATACAAGCCTCTAACACTTGACTGCATGATTAGGAGATTCAGGGGCATCCAAGGACCAGGCATTTGAGTCCACCTCACCTAACTGGTAAGGTCCAGGTGGCTCAAAGTAAGCCTCTCCCACTCGTGTCCATCCAGCCTGCTCAGACCCAGGCACCTGCGCACTGAGCCTGAGGACTGCTGGGTCAGCCTGCTGCCCATTTTTTGGCACATTTTTGTGGTCCTGGATTCCCCAATTTTATCTCGATTGCAATGGTCAGGTCCTTGGTGAACTGAGAGGGCTGTGGTCTTCTGGTCTGGTGATGAGGCACAGCTTTCCTTACTGCTCCACAGCCCGTCAGGAAACACTTCACTCAGCCAGACGGCCAGTCGGAAAGCAGTCCAGGCCAAGTTTGAGATCAAACAGCTTCAGAGAAAACCCTGAAAGCTGGGTGTGCTGACACAGAACGGTAATGCCACACTTGGATGATGGAGACCATGTCTTAGAGGGAAAACGAAAAATGGAATCTTGAGCTATTTACTCTGCAGCACATTGCATTGTCCAGTCTCATGAACCTCACTGGACACGAGGGCGCTGTTCACAGTCACAAAGCCCCACCGACCTGCCGACTCCAAGCTCGAGGACAAGGTTTGCAGGCAGATAGCCTCCGTCTATACTGAGGCTTTACTTTTTCCTTCTGTAGAATCTGTACCCTTGGGAAGCATGTTCAAACTCTCTTTCTCCAATTTTCTCCGATGCTCCAGGAAGTTTAAAATTATAAGCTGTGGTGGTGTAAGGAATTGTCCCCTCAAGCCCAGGCTGAAACAGAAACACAAAGAAACAGCACTGAGAACTGTCCAGACAGCCTCGAGGAGCAGGATTCTCCCAACTGGAAGCCAGTGTGAAGGCAGCTGGGCAGCAGGTCTGTGGGGCTCCAGACACTTAGGATGATCCTCTTTTTTTTTTTTTTTTTTTGGTTTTTCGAGACAGGGTTTCTCTGTGGCTTTGGAGCCTGTCCTGGAACTAGCTCTGTAGACCAGGCTGGTCTCAAACTCACAGAGATCCTCCTGCCTCTGCCTCCCGAGTGCTGGGATTAAAGGCGTGCGCCACCATCGCCCGGCCTAGGATGATCATCAAAGGGCTTTTACTTCTTTTAGTTTTAAAATTTTTTTGAGGGCTGGAGGGATGGCTCAGAGGTTAAGAGCATTGCCTGCTCTTCCAAAAGTCCTGAGTTCAATTCCCAGCAACCACATGGTGGCTCACAACCATCTGTAATGGGGTCTGGTGCCCTCTTCTGGCCATCAAGCATAGAAACAGACAGAATATTGTATACATAATAAATAAATAAATATTAAAAAATTTTTTTTTTCGAGACAGAGTTTCGCAGTCGCTTTGGAGCCTGTCCTAGAACTAACTCTTGTAGACTAGGCTGGCCTTGAACTCACAGAGATCCATCCGAGTGCTGGGATTAAAGGTATGTGCTACCACTCCCCAGCTGGGCTTTTTATTTTCTTAAATATATATACCTAGTAGGTGAAAAAAGAAAGACTGTCTCTAGGAGGGCAGTCCTAAGGAGGTATCTATGCTCTCCACATCCTCCCCTATTATTGGCTCTACACTGGGATACTGACTTGAACCTTCTGAGGCACCCAATATCCCATCTTATGTCATTCAAACCACATAATATAGTGTCTGTCTCCCAAATAAAGCACCTGCTGCATTGACTGCAGCCAACTTCAGCTCATTTCCGCCCGCCTGGGTTTCCCCCCAGGACTCTCCCATGTGGGCTCACCTGGTTCTTGATAATACAGTGTGGAATGGAAATGGAACCAATCAGCAGACAATTCACAGCTTTCAGCTCTTCTGGAGGCAGAGGGGTGATGATGTGGTACATCCGCTGCTCCATGTCAATGCCTCTGCAGATGCCTGTAGACATAGAGCAGCATCAGCCACACTGCAGGAGTCTCACAGCTCAAGCACCAGGAAGCAAAGCTTGATCCTGACATTAAAAGCTTTAAGTGGGGCTGAAGAGACAGCTCAGCAGGAAAGAACACCTGTTGCTCTTGCAAAGGACCCAGGTGCCTTTCCCAGAATCCATCAAATGGCTCACAATTCCACTCTATGGGATCTGATGCCCCCTTCTGGCCTCTGAGAGCACCAGGCCGGTGGTGCAGACAGATGCACATGGAATAAATTAAGGCGTTTTCATTTCTAGCGCTTTGCTTTCAGAATACAAAGAGCAATTGAAGGTTACTGAGATTGCTCAGCAGGCTTAAGTGTGGTTGCTGCTCTTCCACAGGACCCAAGTTCAGTTCCCAGCACCAACTTAAAGGCAGCTGTACCTCCAGCTCCAGGAACCCAGCACCCAACATCTCTGGTCTCCAGGGACATCTGCACTCATGTGCACATACCCACATAATCTACATACCTATGTCTCCTGGAGTGAGCGACCATGCCCAGCTAAAATAAATTTTAAGAGAGTACAAAGAATCTGAACATCCGCCTGTTGAGTTGTGAGGAACCAAAGTAGGCTAACAGAAGACGCTGGGTAGCTCTGATGCAGGCAGTGTGTGAATGCTGAGGCGTACACACAGAAGACATTCATCTCCCTAGTGACAGTTTCTCAAGTCTGTGTACAGGCCAACACCAGTTGTGTACAGTGAAGCAGAAAGTATTTACTCTCAACTCACCAAAGCCCAAACAGTCACATATGGGGGTCTGGGCAAGCAGGATGGGACCCCGAGTGTATCCTTTCATGTCCTCCAGTATCCTGCAAAGCCCAACCCAGCTGGCATTTATGGCGTACAGTATGTGGGCAGGGGCAACATCAGCATGAGTGATCCGGACAGCAACTGCATTGAAGGGAACCTAGAGAATAAACCACAAATGCTCATCTCTCCGACAGACTTCTACCTCAGGTCTACGTAGCCTAGGTTGCCTCAAAGTAGAGATCCAACAGGCCACCACATAAAGCTTCACCTTATTTTTTTGAGAAAAAGGGTTTCTCATCGAACCTAAAGCTTGCTGATTTGGCTAGATTGACTGGCCACCAAGATCCTCTTGTCTATAGTCCCCCAGTGCTGGGATTACAGGCTTGGGCCATCATACCCAAACAAAAATCTAGATTGTGAAAAGATAAATCAGGATGGCTTGGTTGATGGAAGTGCTGGCCCAAAATGCAGATCCCTAGCACAGCCAAAGATGGGGTGGCCAATGCTTATTCTCCCAGCATATGGCAAGCAGAGGCAGGAAGGCGAGAAGGTCAAGAAGACTGGGTGACATAGTTCCCTCCTTCCCGTCCCTCTATCCATGTGATCTTCATTCCTGTCTCCCCTCAACTTGAAAACAAAGCCAAACCAGGAGCCAAGAGCACGAGCATTAGCGTCAACTTGTAGGATTCCAGGGCATTTCTTTATAGACTGGTTGACGAGAGGAGAGTTGTTCAGGCAGCAGCCTACAAAGTCACGGATCTATGGCTATGTAAAGTGAGGATGGTAAGTCAAGAGATTCCAGTGAGCTAAGGCTGCAGCTGATCGGACGTCACAGTAGGTGTTGGCAGCGACCAGGAAAATGAAAGTCCTCTGCCATTCCAGTCTCAGCTCAGCTTTTCTTCTGGGTCTTTGGAGTGTTTACCAGCTGTGTTTTGTTGAATAGGAATTTGCTTTCTTTTAAAAACAATCCCACTGCACTGGGTCGTGGTGGTGCACACCTTTGATCCCAGTACTTAGAAAGCAGAGACAGTCAGATCTCTGAGTTTGAGGTTAGACTGGTCTACAGAATTCTAGGACAGCTGATACACAGAGAAACCCTGTCTTGAAAAACGAAAAAACTCACATAATTCCCAGCTTGCTTGAGCCTCCTACTATGAATCAAGATGTGAGGCATCAGTTGCTCCTCCCACCAATGCCTTTGTCCCGCCATCCTAGACCATAAGCTTCTGAAACACTAAGCCCAGTTTACACACACACACAGCCTTTCTTTTTCTTTTTCTTTTTTTTTGTTTTGTTTTTCAAGACAGGGTTTCTCTGTGTAGCTTTGGAGCCCGTCCTGGCACTCACTCTGTAGACCAGGCTGGCCTTGAACTCACAGAGATCCGCTTGCCTCTGCCTCCAAAGTGCTGGGACTAAAGGTGTGCGCCACCACTGCTGGCTAACCTCTTTCTTTTATAAGTTGCTTTGGGCTCTTTCCTGCTGCTCTTCTGAAGAGGTAAGATGGTCTTTACCTCTTCTTCCTCTTCCTCTCTCCATTCCCTGTATCTCAATAAAACTCCCACATAACTCTAAAAAAAAAAGCTATCTTGGTCATGGTGTTGTCAGAGCAAAATCACTGAGAGTGTGTGAGTGTGTGCGCACATACACGAAGGATGTGTGTGAGTGCACATGCGTATGAAGCCTGGGCTGAGTGTCAACACAGTCCTGTGGAATAATCCTTCTGTACACTGTAAAGACGTGTTGCTCTCATTGTTACAAGCCAGAAGTGGAAGAAACAACATGGGAGGGTCATAGAGGAAGTGAACGAGCCTCAGGGTAGCACATAGATTAAAAAACAAACAACGGGTTAATTTAAGTTGTAAACCAGCTGGAGACAAGCCTAAGCTATTGGTGAGTATTTATAATTAGTAGTGAGTCTCTGTGTTGGGACCCACAGCAAACGAGCACAGCTCCACAGTCACCACAGAGCTCTCCCCAAGCCATCCCAGCAGCCTGGACCGGAAGTTGTAAACACTTTGGTGCAGGTACCCACTAGGAATAACAAGGTGCCCAGGAGCCTGCTCTATGGACCAGGCACTACCAGGAAGGCTCACAGAGCTCTTCAGCATCCTGAGACGTCAGGCACTGCCACTGTGCAGGTGGAAAGTGTAAATGTGAGGTGGCCACCAGATCAGCTGACATCAAACTACAATCCACACCACAGACTAAGCTTGCCAGCCAAGGACCAAACGTCAGCTCTCCATCTTCTCTCAGGTAACCCACCCTCATCATTCCTTAGCTTTCCCATCTGAAAAATGGGGATAATATCAGAACCTAATCACAGGGCTGTTTTGAGAATTAGGGAAGCAATATGCAGGAGGAGGCAGAGCAGCTAGGACACCAGAGCCTCAAGCATCTTATCAGTAAAGAGACCATTTCTCCCGCCAACTCTGATTACCTGATAGGGCGTCAGGCTGTGCAAAGGACTAAGCTGCCCTGGCACGGGAGGCACCAGCTGGCTAAGGTAGCCCAACACCGCCAGATCTCGAAAAATTTTATTGTATTTGGCCCTGAAAAGTAGAGCACAACAAGGTAAATAGAGAATATACCACGCCCACTTGGGGGCAGAAGGGAACAGCATCTCAATCATTAGGTAGCACATGAGACCTTGCTCTTTCAAGATATCCCTACCCTAGGGCTGGAGAAGTGGTTGTTACTGCCAGCATGTACCCTGGTCTAATGGCCAATAAGACACTCTCCCCCAGCCCCTGTCCCCCTCAAGGTCTCCACCCACAGCCCTCTCTTGACACAGTCCTCCAGGAAACCCAAAGACTCTTCAGCACCGAGCCTCTGGCCAGCGGCATGGGAAGCTCCATCTCCATGCTCCTTTAAATGTACATCAGTGGTACCCCTGAAAAGTCTTAAGAGGATTCTCTTTTTTTTATTTACAGGGCTTCACAGTAGACTGGCCTTGAACTCATGATGTCCCACTCGGCCTCTGAGGTGCCAGAATGACAGACAAGAGTCACCATGACCCGCTCTCTAAACAAGTGAGCATGCCATGCCCAGCCCACTGTAGGAAGCTTCATTCCTTTTTTTTTTTTAATGGTTTTTCGAGACAGGGTTTCTCTGTGGCTTTGGAGCTGGTCTATTAACTCTTGTAGACCAGGCTGGTCTCAAACTCACAGAGATCCGCCCGCCTCTGCCTCCTGAGTGCTGGGATTAAAGACATGCACCACCACTGCCCGGCTAAGCTTCATTCTTTACCCAAATGACACTTTACTTACCTATTTTTCTCATTTTTACTACACGGAAATTCTGAGTAAACAAGCATCAGCTTATGTCCAGGGAAGACCGGAACTGGACCGGAGTCTTTCTCTTCTTCAGTAAAACCCAAACTGTCTCCAAATTCTTCAATTTCAAACCCTCTACGTTTCCTGATCTTGCTTTTTGTATACAGACCGTCTGTGAGCTCTACATACTCTGAGGTCAGAGAGGGCATTGTAGGACCCCGGGGAGAATACAACTGAATGACGTAGTTGGGAGACAACAGCCGGATCAGGTCAACAAGCAGCAGCAGTCCATCATCTGTGATGGAAGAGAGACCAGAGCACATAGTGAGCACCAAAGGCATGGGGTCTGGTGTGGTGCGGCATGCGGGAGGCAGAGACAGGCAGATCTCTGTGAGCTCGAGGTCTAACAGAGCGAGTTCCAGGACAGCCAGGATTGTTACATAGGGAAACTTTGCCTCTGAAAAAAACAAAACCAAAAAACATACAAAAAGAAAATCAAGAAAGACATGGCCAGGCAACGTGTGCACACCTGAGAAGATCTGACACCCGTTTCTGGCTTCCAAGGGCAATGTGCACAATGTCTGGACAAAACAGTAAAGCAAAAATCAGTCAATTGATTAAAAAATAATCAACAGGGCTGGGGAGATGGCTCAGAGGTTAAGAGCACTGACTGCTCTTCCAGAGGTCCTGAGTTCAATTCCCAGCAACCACATGGTGGCTTACAGCCATCTATAATGAGACCTGGCGCCCCCTTCTGGCTTGCAGGCAGACGTGGAAGGAATGCTATACACATAATATAATAAATAAATAAATATTAAAAAAAAATCAACAACCCAAAAGACCAGAAACCAGAGCTCTGGCTTACTTGGTGGACTATTCATTCCCTCAGCACCACATAAAACAAACAGTGATGCCTATAATCCAGACTGGGGAGGAGGTGGTATGTTGACAAGTTCAAGGCTGCCCTCAGTTACATAGGGGGAACGGCCTATGCTGACCCTCATTTGAACACTACAGCACACATGTATGGAAACAGCACAGGGCACCTGTACAGCACTCATGGTAGCTGCTTACCCTGCATCACATGTATACGGGCTTACCTTTTACCCAGCCCATCGTGTTGATGATAAGTGGGTACTCTCTCTTGTAGTCTCTGAACACATACTTCACTATCTCAATATAATTCTCATAGTCATTATGACAAGTCATTTTTCCATAATACACCATCCTCTGTGGCTTCCTTGGGTGGGTGTAAGGTGGTCCTAGAAAACAAAAGCCGGAGTCAGGAATCAAGCACTTTTCTAACACACAGAAGGCTCCAGCAGAGTGGTTCTCAACCTCCCTAACGCTGAAACCCTGTAATACAGTTCATGTTGTGATGATCCACAACCATAACATTCTTTTTGTTGATATTTCATAATCAATTTTACTACTGTTATGAATAGTAATGTAAATATCTGGTATGTGACCCCTGTGGGAGTCATGACCTACAGGTTGAGACCTGCTGCTACAGAGGTTCTATCTACAACACTACCAAGCAAACATAACCAAGCCACGGCCACACAACAGTGGGCAGGATTTTGTGGCACTGCCAATCCTGACAAAGATTTTAGGAAAGCTCAAACCACCAAGAAGAGCATCAAATTATGATTTTAGAAGTCAACTTAAGCTGGGCGGTGGTTGCGCATGCCTTTAATCCCAGCACTAGGGAGGCATAGGCAAGCGGATCTCTGCGAGTTCAAGACCAGCCTGGTCTACAAGAGCTAGTTCCAGGACAGGCTCCAAAACCACAGAGAAACCCTGTCATACAAATACACTCCCAATTTCATGTATGTAAGTAAACTCTGATCATGTTCTGACATGACTGCATTTATACCAGGTATCTGGGATACAACTATGAGCCCCCACCTTCTAGGGCTTATAAAGCCCAGCGAAAATCCAATTAATAACCTTTAATAATCTCCTGCTAAGTGGTGGTACATTACTTTCGAGACAGAGTTTCTCTGTCTAACAGTCTTGGCTGTCCTGGAACTCACTGAGATCCACTTGCTTCTGTCTCCCAAGTGCTGGGAGCAAAGGCATACACCACCACTATCTGGCTGTGAACACATGTTTAATACCAGAATTTGGGAGGCTAAGCATCTGAACCTGAGTTCCAGGTCAGCAAGTTCCAGGCTAGCCAGAGCTACACAGTAAAAGCCCAATCTCCCCAAGGTTTGGAGACAGCTCAGTGGCAAGACCATGTACTACTCTGGCAGAGGACCTGAGTTTGATGTCAAGAAGTTGACAATCAGCTCTCACTCCAGCTTCAGTGGACTCTCACACCCTCTTCTGACCTCTAAGGAGACTAGCACTCATGTGCATACACCCCCCCCCCCCGGACATAATTAAAAATAAATCTTAGAGGGGGGAGTCTTAAACTGGTTGGCGGTACTGCATGCCTTTAATCCCAGTATTACTCAGGAAGCACAGGCAGATCTCTGTGAATCTGAGGTCAGCCTGGACTACAGAGCAAGTTCTAGGACAGCAAAGCTACATAGAGAAAGCCTATCATGTAAAGCCAAATAAATAAACAAATAAGTAAGTAAATAAAAAATAAAAAGTCAAGGCTGATGACAGCTCATCAGACAAAGGTACTTCTGTTGAGCTGATGGCCAGTGTAGTTCACCTAAACCTACATGGGAAGAAGGAACTGTTGTGGAATATTTGTACAATGTGTGAAAATGTGTTGCTGTAATTGACCAATAGCTAGGCAGAAAGCATAGGTGGAACTTCCTGGCAGAGAAGGAGGAAGTCAGAAGGATGGATCTGGTTTGCAGGAGACATGAAGAGAAGAACAAGTCAGACACACAGAGTGGGAGATAGGTAAAAGGCATGTGGTAGAACGAAGATTAATAATAATATGTGTTAATTAGTTATAAGAGCTAGTGGGACAAGCCTGAACTCATGGCCAAGCTTTCACAATTAGTAAGGTATCTCCAAGTCAGTATTTGGGAGCTGGTAGGACAGAAAAAACTCGTTACAAAGAAGTGACTTCTACAAGTTGCCACTGGGTTTCTGTATGTATGTGTATGCACGTCAAGACACTTGAACCCAACTCCTATTCAAAATAAGTGAGTGTAAAATAAACGTAAAAACAAAATATGTGCATGGTGGCACACTCCTTTAACCCCAGCACTTGAGAGGCAGGCGGATCTCTATGAGTTCCAAGACAGCCAGGACTACACAGACCAAAAAACCTTGCTTCAAAAACAAAACAAGATAAAGGCAGTAGTGGCACATGCCTTTAATCCCAACACTTAGAAGGCAAAGGCAGGCAGATCTCTGAATTCGAGGCTAGCCTGGTCTATAGCGTGAGTTCCAGGCCAGCCAAGTCTACACAGAGAAATTCCATCTTGAAATATCAAAACAAGGGCTGGAGAGATGGCTCAGCGGTTAAGAGCATTCATTGCCTGCTCTTCCAAAGGTCCTGAGTTCAAGTCCCAGCAACCACATGGTGGCTCACAACCATCTGTAATGGGGTCTGGTGCCCTCTTCTGGCCTGCAGGCATACACACAGACAGAACATTGTATACATAATAAATAAATAAATAAATATTTTAAAAAAAGAAATATCAAAACAAAATAATACAAACAAACAAACAAAAACCAAAAGAAACTCAAGGGACTTAAATAGGCATTCTTTTGAGATTTACAAGTGGCCAACAGCACTGGAAATATAAACACTCAAGAGGAGGACACTCAGTATTTATGGTCACAGAAGCACAAAATACACACTTGCTTGGGGATCTGTAATCAAAATAAGCAACAGGCCAAGAAGATCCTAGAGAATTCATGCCCCTGCACACTGCTGGTGGGACTTAAAAGCCAGCACAGCCACTGTCAAAGTCTGGAATTTCTCAAAAAGGTCAGCAGGAGACCATCACATCACCTGGGAACTGCACATCTAGGCACACAAATGAACCAGAATGCAGGGTCTCAATGGTGTACTCGCCCCGTTCTCATGGCAGCGCTGTTCACAGCAGCAGAAACCCAGAACTCCCACAGTGGGAAGAGGAGGGCTCAAGTGGGAAAGGTGCCGGGCCACGCAAGCCTGAAGCCTGCTGACCAAACTTCAGTCCCCAGAACCCATGAGCAACTGAATTTGGGGATACACATCTGCCATCGCAGCACTGAGGGAGAAGGGAGGCAGCAAGGCGAGAGCCACTTAAGAGCCTGCAGACCAGCTAATCTGGTATATGCAGTGAAGCAGCAAAAAAATAAGGGACCCAAATTCACCCCAACAAGGTGGAAGGAAGGAAGGAAGAAAGGAAGGAAACTAATTCTGCAAAGCTACTCTCTCATCTCCACACACACACTGTAGGCACGCAATAGCTGGGTGGATAAAAACGCAGGATGCAAATATGTAACGGAATCATCTCAGACATACAAAGAAAACTAAGCTGATTTTCAATTCCCGGCAACCACATGGTGGCTCACAACCATCTGTAATGAGGTCTGCTGCCCTCTTCTGGTCTGCAGACATACACACAGACAGAATATTGTATACATAATAAATAAATAAATATTAAAAAAATTTACATAAAGCATTTCCTAAAATAAGCACACTCAAGTTTGCTGTGAAAGCTTCACTATGCACAGAATTTTGTGAATGTGATTCCTCTTAAACCTCGTAAGCCAAAGACATGTAACACACGCAATACTTACCCAGCAGCGGTTCTGTAATGTTAAGTAAAGCAATGCAGCCAGGAGGCGTGAACTCTGTCTGCCCGGGATCACATTCCAGGTAGTCAACCCCAGGGAGGCTGGAAATCGGCAAAGAGAAAGACCAGTCTCAAGCAGCTGTCCTCTGTGGCAGTGACTGTGCCGCATGGACATCGTCACCCCGAGCAGCCTTGTAGCTGTCACGCTCCAGACGCTAAGGGCAAGGCCCTATCCCACTCACAACAGGCAAGGTTATTGCAAAAACATAACAGCTCAGCTCTGGAATAGAGATGACATCTGGACCAGTTTAGATCAAGTCCAAGCACCCCCTCTTCTACAGGTCAGAGTCAGTAGGCAAGCACCGTCACCACATGAAGAGTGCCACTGCCCAGTCCACAGCATTCAGAGCCAAACTCAATCCCACCCCCAGTGTCTCCACCAAGTTGGGTATGGTGGCTTACACTTGTAATCATTGGGAACTGGGAAGACTGAGGCGGGAGAATCACCAAGAATCCAAGGCCAGACTGGTCTCGAGAGTAAGACTGTGCCTCAAAGGATCACACAAAAACCAAGTCTCTGTATCTGAATCTCACTTCATGCCCAGATGACCGAATGAAAACACAAGCATGCTTACCTGTTCAGTAACTGGTTAATCAGTATTCTACTGAACGTGGACTTTCCCGCGTCACAGGCGCCACACAACAGGATGACAGGGCAGCCATCTACTTTTGCAGGTAAAACAAACAGTGAGCCCAGTGCCGGCCAGTCCTCAGGACTGTAGCTGCGCAGCGCCCGAGGCTCTGGGGAACACGAGACTCACGGAAGGAGATGCTCACCACAGGACACGCTGACGAGCTCCTCCAGGGCACAATGGGCACTGTCACTCAAGAAGATGCCTGCCCTCTTCCGCTGTCTTCTGAGGCCAATTGTTTTCAAAGTTATAAACTCAGCGTTAACCCGCACAGGATAATGCTGAAATACAATTCATTCAAACCCTAAAGAAAGTTTCCTTAAAAATATACATTTGCTTGTTTCTAAACTAATAAGCAACATATAGTTGTTTCTGCTTTTTGAGACAGGGTCTCTCTCTGTAGCTTTGGAGCCTGTGACGAAAGTCGCTCTGTAGCCCAGGCTGGCCTCAATCTACCTGTCCCTGTCTTCCGAGTGCTGGGATTAAAGATGTGCACCACTACCGCTGAGCATCAACATATAGTTGTGAGTTACAAAACAAAACAAAAATTGGTTTCTTTCTCTCAGTACAGTAAAGCGCAGCCCATCAGCCTGGGCTGCCTACTCTCTCTGAAGCACATGTCTCTGCACAGCGCATACCCACTCTCAGGCTGCTGCTGCCTCTGGAGAAAAGAAAGGGATTAAAATGTAGGGAAAGTTCAACAGAGGCCACCGCGGGAGGACAGGTTGGCTGATCTGAAATAAAGTCAAGGCCATCTATGAAACACAAAACAGGACACAGCACATGCAAATGGAGCTGAAGAGGCAAAGGCGGCTGTGCTCAGTCTCTACTGGGGTCCTCAGGAAGCATAAGGGCCCTACAAAGGCTCGTGCTAGCTGCTGTGGGGAGGTTCCAAAGAAAAGCGTCCACCATACAGAAGAGGAGAACAAAAGAAACTACCCACAATGCATCCTCAGGCAGTCAGCAATCACAGAGGGCATTCCTGCCTCAAGTGCCTCCCGAGAGTTATAGAGTTCTTTCTGTGAGGGATAAAAACGGAGGCCCAGAGTTGAAGAGATGGTTTAGTGGCTAAGAGTAATCACTGTTCTCGCAGAAGACCAGAGTTTGGTCCCTAGCACTCTCATGTCAGACAGCTCATAGTCACCTGTTAACTTCAACTCTGAGAAATTGGAAGCCACCTTCTGGCCTACTAAAAATAAGGGGCATACACAGACATATAAACAAGTACAAAAACTTTTCAGAGCCGGGTGGTGGTGGCACACGCCTTAATAAATTAATAAATCAATCAATCCCAACAATTGGGCGGCAGAGGCAGGCAGATCTCTGTGAGTTAGAGGCCAACCTGGTCTAAAAAAACTAGTTCCAGGACAGGCTCCAGAGAAACCCTGTCTTGAAAAAACCAAAACAAAACAAAACTCTTCAGAATGCACTCATGTGAGGGCTAAGGAGATGGCTCAGTGGATAAAACTCTAGTTTTTAGGACCAGAGTTCAAATCCCCAGCACTCATGCAAAAACTAGGGAGGTGTGAGGGTGGCCTGTAATTCCAGTACTTGGGAGACAGAGAACCGAGAACCCTGAGAAGAACTGATTAGCTAGACTAGCTGCAACTGGTGGGCCCCAGGTTCAGCAAGAAACCTTGTACAAGGAGTAAGTGGAGAGCAATTGAGGAAGACATTCCACATCACATTCTGACCCCACGTGCGTGTGTATGTATACTGACACACAGGCAACCCCCCCCACATAAATAAATAATAATATAAACCACATTGATATATGCCTTTAATCCCAGTACAGAGGCAGCGGCAGAACTCAAACTCTGAGTTCAAGGTCAGCCTGATCTACAGAGGAAGTTCCAAGACAGCCAGGACTGTTACACAGAGAAACTCTGCCTTGAAAAACAAAATAAATAATAAAAGTAACCAGAGTAGCCACCACAGTAGCATCTGTCTGCAATCCCAGAACTCCACAGGCAAGAGGAATACAAAGTTGAGGCCATCTGGGCTACATAGTAACACCGGGTCTCAAAAAAAAAAAAAAAAAAGGTGGGGGTGAGGTTTGGAGAGATAGCCCAGAGGTTAAGAGGACTAGGGGCTCTTTCAGAAGGCAGATGTTCTGTTCCAAGCATCCATGCTGCCTGGTTTACAACCTCCTGTAACTTCAGCTCCAGCGCTCTAACTTCATACATCTGGTCTCCAAGAAACTTGGCACACATGTGCGTATGTATACCCACATAATTAAATACTGAAACAATAATCACAAAAGCACATCCATGCCCCAACCACCTTCATCTCCCTTTGCATAGCACGTCAGGAATGTCTTGGTTCCCCTCTCCCAGTGGTAAGGAACTATGAAAGAACTCTTTGCTTGCTCTTGTCCCTCACTTATTTGTCTTCTGGTGATTATACAATAAAATGCCCAGCCAGGAGGGGTGGTGCCATAGCATTTATTTGGTTTGTTTTGAGTGAGACAGGGTCTCTGTAGTCCAAGCTGTCCAACATAGACCAGGCTACCCACAAACTCGTAAGAGATCCTCCTTAATGAGTTCGAGGCCAGCCTGATCTACAAGAGCAAGATCCAGAACAGCCAAGGCTTACACAAAAACCGTCTTTAAAAAAATGAGACAAATAAAAGAAACCCAAATTGGAATGGTTGGTACCAATTGTGATGTTGGCATTAATATGAGATACTGGGGACGGACAGGGAAGGTTATGGCTTAATAACCTGTGTGTGTCAATGTTAAGTTGACAAGGGGACAGTTGCGTTAGTCAGTGTTTATGTCACCTTGACGAGAGCTAGAGTCATGTTAGAGAGGAAGCCTCGCCAGGGATTGGTGCAGCCTTTAAATCCAGCACTCGGGAGGCAGAGGCAAGCAGATTTCTGAAGCCAGTCTAGTCAATAGAGCAAGTTCCAGGACAGCTAGGGCTACACAGAGAAACTCTGTCTCAAAAAACAAAAAAACAAAACAAAACAAAAAAAAGAATACTGCCGGGCAGTGGTGGCGCACACCTTTAATCCCAGCACTTGGGAGGCAGAGGCAGGCAGATCTCTGTAAGTTTGAGACCAGCCTGGTCTACAAGAGCTAGTTCCAGGACAGGTTCCAAAACCACAGAGAAACCCTGTCTCGAAAAAAAACCAAAAAAAAAAAACTTGCTGTTTTTGCAAAGGACAGGAATTTGATTCTCAGCACCTCCTCAGGTACCAGGCATACATGTGGTGCATAAGCATACATGTAGGCAAAACACACACACAAAAATAAAATAAACCAGGCTGGAGAGATGGCTCAGAGGTTAAGAGGACTGACTGCTCTTCCAAAGGTCCTGAGTTCAATTCCCAGCAACCACATGGTGGCTCACAGCCATTTGTAATGGGGTCTGGTGCCCTCTTCTGGCCTGCAGGCATACACACAGACAGAATATTGTATACATAATAAATAAATATTTAAAAAAAAAATAAAACAAACCAAATAATAATAATAAAATAAACAAAACAAAAAACTGCTTGTAAGTGCCGGGCAAACAGTTCAGCCAATAATCTTGAGGCCCTGGGCATGAACCCAGGCATGGAGCGCTTGTGGGTGTGGGTGTGTACGATCTTATCACCTGGGACTAGGATGCAGAGGCTGTGACAGACATCCAGCCTCCTCGGTAAGCTTCAGGCCAACCAGAGACTGTTTCAAAAGACAGACAAAACCTCAAGGTGTCTGCTGGCTTCTGCTTGCACCTGCACTTGCCTTATAAGCAAACACATTCATCCTGGACTCAAGGGCAGTCCAGCTGAGCTTCTCCTCCACAGTGCTATCACTCCAGCCCTCCTGCATTCCCACCGGCTGTGATCAAGCAAGGTGGTTCACAATGCCCTCTCGACAATGACCACCTCTCACTACAGAGCCCTGGAGCCACTGCGTTCCTTCAGCTTCCTTCTCCCCACTTCCTGACTCCATCGGGAGGCTGTCCCTCAGCAGTGTACTAAAACCAGTCTGGTCTAGATCCTCGTTCTGCGTCTGTAGACTTTCTTAGACCACCTTAGACTGGCAAGCCCTCCACCCCTGGTCATTCCTTGGCTCCTCTGTGACTTCCTTATTTTAACCTCCTCTCGAGTGACATGGCCCAGACCTTATACCCTCTCCCCTCTCAAACTCCGTCAATGTGCCCATGCTCTCTGTCTCTCTCACCCAATCTGTGTTCTTGGATACCCTCTCTTTTGCAGGCTCTCAACAGAAGATGGCCCTACCATCTCCTCCAAACTACAGACTCACATACTCTAGCGCCTACCTGACATCTCCAACTTGTTATCTTTTTTCTTCTTCTTTTGGAGACGGGGTGCCATGTAGCTCAGAGTGGCCTCCACATCACTATCTAGCTGGAGATGAACTTGAATTCCTTATCCGCCTGACTACACCTCCCGAGTGCTGGGATTACAGGCTTGTCCTACCATAGCTGATAAAGAGGTGGCTTCTGCTGGGCAATGAAACTGAAGAGGAGGAGGAGAAATGTTCATGATGAGCTTTCTATAGGTGCCTGTGTAAATGCACGCCACACCACGTAAGTGGGGGCCAGAGGACAAAACCCAGGCGTGCTCTCTCCTCCTACACAAGCACCTGGGATGGAACCCACATTCTCGAGCTTGTTCAGCAAGTGCCTTTACCCATGATACCCCTTTCTATAGAGACTATCTCCTAACTGTTGACACCCCGAAGTGCTACCCCTAACACACGACAGAGGATGATCATTCTGAAAGTGCTCCCAACAATTCAGCTGACGGCTCTGGTGCAAGGGACCAGCAGCCCTAAGTGAGTACGGGGCCTTACCTCCTGCCGGAAGACGTAAGAAGCACACTTATAGGAGCTCATGAAGTCCACGGCAGGGGACCGCAGCTGTTCCAGCAGCACAACGGAGGCCAGGGGACAGAAATAGTGCATCACCCAGTGTCTGTCATCTGCAAAGAGAGGAGCAGGCCACCTCAGAATTAGTAACAATTTAGATCCCAAGGGCTATTATCTCAACTACAGGCTTGTGAAGTAGAGGTGACTTTTTTATGTCTGGGTGGAGGCAGCACAACCCGAGTCTGCTGCCTACTAGCTTCATGGTCTTGGAAAACTTCTGGTGTAAAACAGCGGAAATCATAGTACTTTAATACTTAGAGTACAGTTACCCAGTTTCATGTGTGGCTTGAGCAGAGCCCGCATCTCTTTTCTGACCTCCTTTTCACTTTTCTCGGGTTCTGGGTACAGCATCGCCCTGATGCTCAGGAAAGAATGGGTGTACGCAGAAAACACATCTTGGGCGGGCTGGCCTTGTTTGATGATATGGCCAAAGATTTGCAACTGGCCATAGATGCAAGTCACACGGCATATCCCACTAAAAATAAAGTCCTAGCAGGGAAAGAAGAAAAAAACCATTATGGACAATATAGATACTGCTACCAAAGACAGAAAAATTCTAAAATCTTAACTTGATATTCACTTATCAAAATGATCTTTATCCCCTTGAGACAGGGCCTCATGATGCAGCCAAGGCTGTCCTAGAACTGACTGCGTAGTTCTTCGACTCATGGAGATCTAACCCTCCCTACACTCAGAGTGGCTGATGTGAAAACTCACGTCCAAGTGTCAAAGTACACAGCACTGGGGCTGCAAAGGTGGCTCACCGGTTAGAGCACTGGTGGCTCTACCGGAGCACCCATGTTTGGTTCCCAGCACCCTCGTGGTGGCTAACAAGCGCCTCTAACTTCAGTTTCAGAGGATCCTCTGCAGGCACTGCACGCACATGATGTACGGAAATGCAGGAGAATCACTCAGACATAAAAAAAAAAAAAAAAAAAAAAAACAAGGCTACACTGTACTAAGTGACCAAATTCTGTCAGGTTTTAACTTAACCCTAAACATCATACCCCCGTTGCAGCTCCCAACAGGCTCACAAACTCTACCAACCCGCGCTTACAAAGGCGCACAGCATATCCGTCTCCAATTCCCGAGGCTTCACTCCTTCCGGGCATAAGAAGGGCATCTTTAACCAGGGTCAGACCGCCTGAGTTTAACTCTTGGCTCTGCCGAGCTACTGTCTAACTCCGGCTGCAAGGGACCTACCCTGTTTTTCGGCCCATAAATACGAGAAAGAGGTGCCAACCGTCACTCCAGTGAGAGCTGGGAGTGCTAACTGATTTGGGACACCCGGAAAGCTGGCAGCTGAGTGCCCAACAAGTCCGACACATTAGTTTGCTAGTACAGCGCAGCCAGCAGGCCTGCATATCCCTGAGCAGGAGGATGAGGATGGACTTGCATGCGACCTGCATCCGGAGGACCACGGCCTGGTCACCAGAAGCTCCTTCGCGGGCGACTCACCTCCTCGGCTGGCAGCACCAACAACACTCGGCCGGAGCCTATGCTCCGCACGGCTTGGGTGACGTTCGTCGGCAGGGGTGGGAAGTTGTGCGCGCGCTGTGGGCGTGGTGTGGACTGCGGGCGTGGCGTGGGCTGGCGGCGCGGTGTGGGCTGGCGGCGCGGCGTGGGCTGGCTGCGGGGCGAGGGTAGGTTGCTCGGCGTGGACCCGGTGCCCGGCGTGGACCCGCTGCGGCTCCGGACCTTGCACTTTTCCGCCACGTGCGCGCCCGCGGTGACACCTAGCTTCCAGTCGCCGCCCAAAGCCTGGGCCCGCAGCAGCCGCCGTCGCAGGCGCCGCAGCTCGCCCCGGGTCAGGACCCCAAACCGGCGACGGCCCCGACGGCTGAGGAGGAGGTGGGACCGGGCCTTGCGAGCCCGCTGCCAAGAGGAGCGGCTCGGAACCCGCCTGAGCAGCACCTCAGAGTCCGCCATGCTTGGCCCGGAACGCCTCCGGCCCGGACGATCTCGCGAGATCGCGTGCCCCCCCCCCCCCCGCGCCAGGCGTGCAGAGCTGCGGCGCCCTCTCCCGGCCGGCCTGTGCAGCACATGAGGAACTCCAGCCCTCCGTGCCTAGGCTCGGGCGGCCATCCCATCCAGGGCTCTATTTACATTATGCAAAACCCCACCCTGGCTGGCTGAAGAGTGGGAGTCGAAGCCCCTGGATTTAACCACAAGGCCACCTCTCAGGAAATCCACCTGGGATTTCTTTTTCTTCCTGCAGAAAAAAAAAATCAATAAAAACAGGGTTGGCATTTTAAAACAAATTCGGTCTATTTGTATAATGCTGGGTTTGCATACATTTGACTTTTGGCCGATGGGAGCAATCCTGGAGGACAAGGTTAAACCATGATGATTAAATACATTTTGAAAGTCTGAATACTAGGGCCAGCAGGTGAGCACTCGGAGCCTAGTCTCAGGCTTACTAAATGAGGTTTACTAACTCCGGTAACTCTCAGGAGACTCTAACAGCCAGCCATACTATCTGTCAGTTACTTCCATGAGACAGAGGTAGGAAGGTGGCTTCAGCCCAGGAGTTCAAAGCCAGCCTGGACAAGAGAGCAAGAGACTGCCTCAAAAACAAAAACAAACAAAAAGAAAAAAAGAAAAAGAAAAATTCATCAGTTCCCTGAGAGCAACCCTGACCTTCAGTGCCCGAGTGTCCTCCCGGAAAACCATCAGGGCTCCCTTCCCTAGCCAGGTGAAGCCAAAAGCACCCAAGCAAGGACAGAAACCACAACCGTCCAGAGGAGGGGTCTCAGGGGGCCACCTTGTTTGCATGCATGCCCTGACCCTGCCCAGTTCCTGAGAGAGACCACAGCCAGGAAGACCAGCCTTCTTTCTACAACAGGACTCGTCCCACCCCTTCCAGGGGCACGAAGCTATGAAGCGTCTGGGCAGTTGTCACTCATTGTATTTAAGAAGCCAGCCTTGTCCGAGGTGTGCTCAGCCATGCTGGGCGAAGGGGCATCTGGCCAGCATGTTTTTCTGGGCAGCTTACCTGCTCAGCCTGCAGCTCCACATTGCGTATTGCTGGGCTTTCAGCTGCTACAAGACAGAGTCCTCGCCGAGCTTCAGTCTCCCAGGAGATTACCTCCTCGCAGGCCTGTTCGGTCTCCATGCAGACTATCTGCAGGTGAGAAACCAACCCCAGGTGACACGTTGTGACAGGTGAGTGAAGGGGCTGCCAGAGCTGTCACTTGGTGGGCTGGGAATGTGGTTCAATCGGTTTGGAGCTTGTCTAGAGTACACGAGGCTCTGGGTTTAATCTCCAGTACCACATGGGATGGCTTGTACACATTCTACCTACAATCCCTGGTACTGGAAGGATCAGAAGTTCAAGGCCAACCTAGACTAGAAACCCTGTCCGAGAGGGAAGGAGGAAGAGAGGGGCTCACAGTGGAACACAGAGGCTCCTCCGCTCACCTCTGATCTGTAAGGACTGAAGTCTGGCTGATAGCTGAACAGCCCATCCGTTTCTACTTTAGGATACTACCTATTTATTTATATCGCAATGTGTTATTTGTACTGTGATATGTTCTTTTGTTTTTGCTGTTAGAGCGTGTTATAACTCTAAGTCCCCCCGGCTTTTCTGAAGCTGGCACTTGGGATTCCCCACGGGTATCTTCTTAAAGATGGCTGCTCTTAGTCTGTGCAAGTCCCCTGTTGGGAAGTCTAGAATGTTCTCACGACAGGCCGACAGGTTGTGAGATACTCTACACACAGGGACTACCTGACTGTTGGCCAGGAAGCAAGTAAGATTCTGGAAGCCCTGGCCTGTGAGGACTAGGCCAAAGAGCTCCCAACAGGAGGCTGGGAAGGAGAAACTTGGACTTGGAAGACAGGTTTGAGGACACAAGAAAACTGGCTTTGGGCTGGAGAGATGGCTCAGCGGTTAAGAGCATTGCCTACTCTTCCTAAGGTCCTGAGTTCAATTCCCAGCAACCACATGGTGGCTCACAACCATCTGTAATGGGGTCTGGTGCCCTCTTCTGGCCTGCAGGCATACAGACAGACAGAATATTGTATACATAATAAATAAATATTAAAAAAAAAAAGAAAGAAAACTGGCTTTATAAAACTGAAGGACTGTCTGTCCACGCGGGGGACAGGAGTGACAGAAGCAGGGAGTGGGCATCTTCCAGAAGGCAGCGGCTTGGAGAGTGGTTGTGCAGCAGGGTTGTGTGCCATGTCTTCATCGTCATGCTCTGTGGAGAACAGTGGCCAGAGCAGAGAAAACTCAGCCTAGGTTGAACCCTGTAACGCAGGTGTGAGGTAATTTTACATTTTGTTTGTCCAAGAGATGGTGTCTAGAGTTGTTGGCTCAAATATCAGTCTAGATGTTGCTGGAAAAGTCTGTTTGTGATGTGATTGAGATTTAAATCGATAGACTGAATCAAACAGGCTGTCCATCAACAGTAAGTGGGCCTCACACAATCCCTTTAAGGCCTCAGAGAGAAGAGAGACTCTGAGTAAAGAGACTCGGCCCTCAGATTCAGGACTATGGTCCCCACCTGCCTCGGTTCAGCTGACTGTCTAGCCTACTGGCGAGCTCTACAGCTCTGAACTGAGTAACTTGTGCAGTCATGGAAGCCAGTTCCTTAATGTGGACCTCCCTGTGTGTACGCTTGTCTGTGCTGGAGTGTGTGTGTGTGTGTGTGTGTGTGTGTGTGTGTGCATATGTGTTAACCCTGTTTCTTTAGGGTAGGGCTTCTTAAGTTTTTGCATTCATGCCAATTTTTACCTGGAAAATGTTTTTAAAGATTGATTTTTTTATTATTTATTATTTATTTGTTTATTGGTTTTTTTGAGCCTTGGCTGTCTTGGAACTCACTCTGTAGACCAGGCTGGCCTCAAACTCAGAGAACCACCTGCCTCTGCCTTCCAAGTGCTGGGATTAAAAGTATGTACCACCACCATCTGACTATTTTTTATGTATGTTGGTATTTTGCTTACAAATACATCTGGGTACCACATGTATGCCTGGTGCCCACAGAGGCCAAAAGAGGTCATCAGAGCCCCTGCACTGGGGTTACAGATGGTTGTGAGCTGCCATGTGGGTGCTGGGAACTGAGTGTCCCAAAGCTGTGTGAGAGCAGTCACTTCTCTTAACTGTGAACCATCTCCCCAGCCCCTCCTGAGAATTTTTAACATGACTTTAGTATAGGTATATATTTGAGCATGGTGGCCCATGCCTTTAATCCCAGCACTTGGGAGACAGAGGCAGGTGGATCTCTGTGAGTTCAAGGCCAGCCTGGTCAGCTAAAGTTATAGAGAAACCCTGTTTCAAAAAACAAACAAACATTCTCATCTGACTATATGGCATGTCTGGACACAGATTTTTTTTCCTTTCAATTTGATACGTTGAGTGTTGAGAACACTACTTCAGATATATAGTATAAGTAGCAAAAGTATGCTTAGGGCCATTTCTGAAGTTATTGGAAATTCTATCCAAACACTAAGCCAAAAGTCATTGAACAGTTTATTAGACCCTTGAGTCAGCCGCTCAGACAGGTACTTAGGTGAGCAAGCATTCCTGGATAATCAGCGGAAAGGGATGCTGCTCTGATACTTGTGTGCTACAGAATGCCGCGGCCACGGAGGAAAGGTCTTCGCTTTCCTTTATTAAACCATCGCATTCCGGTGAGAGCAGAAAACTTTGTACATACAAGAAAGACCCTGTGTGTGATATCTCATTTCTGAGAAGCTGAGTGGGGGTGTTCAGGCTGGCATTGACTTGGACAGACCTCAGAGGTCCTTTCTGCCCCTAAAGCCTGGGAAGCAGGAGATGGTGGTAGTGGCGGTGGGGGCGGGCCTTCAGCCTTCTCAGTCCTCCCTGGGCTTTCCCTGCAGGCCTGACAGCTTCAATGGCCACGGCTACCACCTCTTCCAGGCCATGCGGTTCGGCATCGAGGAGATAAACAACTCCACAGTCCTGCTTCCTAACATCTCCCTGGGGTATGAGCTGTATGATGTATGTTCAGAGTCGGCCAATGTGTACGCCTTACTGAGGGTGCTCGCCCAGCAGGAGACTGACCACATAGCGCTGCAGAGAGACCTTCACAACTATTCCTCCAAGGTGGTAGCACTTATTGGGCCTGACAACACTGACCACGCCGTCACTGCTGCTGCCCTGCTGGGCCCCTTTCTGATGCCCCTGGTAAGCCAAGCCCTGGGGATCCCAATCTACGAGTCTAGGGTGGAGGGCCATGGGAGCTACGGCCTCCCTGAGGCTAGCCTGCCCAGGCCCTGGATCTCTGGGCAGTCCTTGCTCTCTAGTCAAGCCGCAGGCATTCTGTTGCCCTGGTTACTGCCCAGTCTTCCTGCCTGTCTGTCCCTGAGCTGCTTCCAGCCTTCCTGCCTCAGCCATCATGGGGAAACCCTGACCTTTTGATTTTTGTTTGGTTGGTTTGACACAGGGTCTCACTATGTAAGCACCGGCTGCCCTGGAACTCACTCTGTAGACCAGGCCGGCCTTGAGCTCACAGAGATCCCCTTGCCTCTGCCTCAGAGTGCTGAGATTAAAGGTGTGGACCACCACAGCCAACTCCCTGTCCTTTTGAACGAGTAGCTACCCAGCTGCTCACTCTCTGCCTCCTCTTCATCCAAAGACTCCACTGCCTTTGCTATCCCAAAAGCCTTTCCCACCCAGATACTGCATCACCTGCTGGCCGCCTTTCTTCCTTGCTGTTCAGTGGTGGTCCTGGGCTGCCCCGTGCCTGGCCGCTGCTGTCCTCAGCAGTCTGTCCAAGTAGCTCTTCTGTCTAGAGGGATCCCTCTCCCCTGTCCTCATGTGCCTGGTTCTTCCTGCCCCTTGCTGCTGGCTGACCTTCCTAGAGCTCTCTGAGGGTCTAGCTTGTTTCACCTGTCCATTTGTGCCTCAGTCTCGGATTCTATCCGCACTTGGTCTAGCTGTAGGAATACCTTCTACAGTTCCAAACTCAAAGAGCACTTTTCAGTTCCTACCCTACGTGGCTTCTTTGTGGCCTGTCTGACCTGGGCTGTAAGGCACTATCCTTGACATTTATACCCCTACCCCCTTTACTTTCAGCTCCTCTCTCTGGAGAGAATCCTTTTGCCACCTGCCTCTGAGGCAGCTGGTATTTCCCTGGCCTCCTCTTTCCTCCTGTTCCAGGCCATTGAGACCATGCATCCTGACTTTGGTGCATGCCTTCCTCACCCAGCTTCCCCAGCAGAGGCTCTGTGAGGAACTCACTCTGGGTTGCAGCCTCACGGTGGCCTACACGACCCACCTAGCTTTTTACTGACAGTCTTCAGACCGTCACCATTAAAGTCTAGTTTCCCTTCAGAACCTACCTGTCATCTCTTTTCTTTTGTCTTTTTGAGACAAAAAGTCTTATAGCCCAGGTTAGCCCTGTTCTGGTATTAGAGTCTAGGATAGTTTTAAACTCTTGATCCTCCCACCTCCTAACTGCTGGGGTTACCAGCCACACCTGGTTAAATCTTTCGCCTTTTACAGAGCACCACTGTCCCTTACATAGATGATCCATCGGCCCCTGCTCTAGTCTTGAGCCTTTCCAGCAGGTCAGTTCACTTCAGTTAGAGATATACTCCTCAAACTTGAGTCTGAACATGTCATTTCTCAGGGGGACCTTGGTAGGTCTCCACAGTGTACAGGACAGAAGTGACCCCTACAGCTTGAGAGTTCAGGTCTCCTACTTTGTCCTACTGATGCCAAGGAAGCATGGTTTGTTGCATGTTTAAATGACATGGCCCTTTCACTTGATCTATAAGCAGATTCCCATACCTCCTGGAACTCCCCAGAGGAGCCTGTCCTCTTGGTTTGGGTGGGGTCTATGAGGAGGTTGATGTTGCTGGCATCACTGAATGGAACCCCCCCCCCAGATCAGCTACGAGGCCAGCAGTGTGATGCTCAGCTCAAAGCGCCAGTACCCGTCCTTTCTTCGCACGATCCCCAGCGACAAGCATCAGGTGAAGGTCATGGTGCTGCTGCTGCAGAGCTTTGGGTGGGTCTGGATCTCACTCATCGGCAGCTATGGTGATTATGGGCAGCTGGGCGTGCGGGCGCTGGAGGAACTGGCCACCCCACAGGGCATCTGCATTGCCTTCAAGGATATTGTGCCCTCTTCTGCCCAGGTGGGTGACCCGAGAATGCAGCAGATGATGCAGCAGCTAGCTCAAGCCAGGACCACTGTGGTCGTGGTTTTCTCCAGCCGGCACCTGGCTAGAGTGTTCTTCAGGTCGGTGGTGCTGGCCAACCTGACTGGCAAGGTGTGGATTGCCTCAGAAGACTGGGCCATCTCTACGTACATCACCAGTGTGCCTGGGATCCAGGGCATTGGGACAGTGCTGGGTGTGGCCATCCAGCAGAGACTTGTCCCTGGCTTGAAGGAGTTTGAAGAGGCTTACATCAGGGCAGTAAAGGGTGACCCCAGGTCTTGTCCAAAGGGATCCCGGTGCAGCACTAACCAGCTGTGCCGAGAGTGCCATGCCTTCACGACATATAACATGCCCACGCTTGGAGCCTTCTCCATGAGTGCTGCCTACAATGTGTACCAGGCTGTGTATGCTGTGGCCCATGGTCTCCACCAGCTCCTGGGATGTACCTCGGAGACCTGTTCCAGGGGTCCAGTCTACCCCTGGCAGGTAAGAGATTCCAGCCAGGGTGTCTGCATCCAGGAGACCATTCAGCCCTGGCAGCGTGGGTACATGGACTATCTGGGGAGACAGTGAATCTCTGTTCACTGTGAGAAGAGTCTCTGTTTTCTTAGATCAGTTCTTCTCCTCTCTGAGCCTTGTCTTCTCCCACCCACCGTGCCCCAGAGATATCAAAGGCCAACAATGTCTGCAAACGAGTCCTTTATTAGAGGTCTCTCAGGAGGCTGGGCAGGGACCCAGGGGATTCCTAGAAGTGGGAACAGATTGCTGAGGAAGGAACCAGGCCTTATGGGTGGGTTGGAACTACTCAGGACAAGCACAAGAGAGTTCCTGCTTGCTTCCTGGGTTGCCTGAGTTTGTGTGTTCTATGGTAGCTTGGCTTCATGACATCTGTCTGTCCCAGCTTCTGCAGCAGATCCACAAAGTGAATTTCCTTCTACATAAGCACATGGTGGCATTCGATGACATCGGGGATCCTCTGGATGACTATGACATCATCGCCTGGGACTGGAATGGGCCTGAGTGGACCTTCGAGGTCATTGGCTCTGCCACATTGTCTCCAGTTCAGCTAGACATAAATAAGACGAAAATCCGGTGGCACGGAAAGACCACTCAGGTAACGGGACACGGTCAGTCACCAGGTGATACCTACCCAGAACAGAGGAGATGCCAGATGTCAGGCCACCTGAGTTCTGCTCAGACCTGCCAGGAACAGACGCTCCCAGAGCTCTGCTCTGCACCTGAACCTGGAGGGCAGAGGTGCAGAGATCTCATTTCTGTGCTGCATGTGAGCTGCCCCTGGACTGGGGCTCCTGTATGTGACTGCAAACCACTGTGGCTTCTTACAGGTTCCTGCATCTGTGTGCACCAGAGACTGCCTCGAAGGGCACCACAGAGTGGTTGTGGGCTCCCACCATTGTTGCTTTGAGTGCATGCCCTGTGAGGCTGGGACCTTCCTCAACAAGAGTGGTGAGTGAGCCGGTGAGGGGTCCAGCCAGAACCTGCCAGGCTGAGTTCTGATGGTTCACCTGGGACACCACCTGGAAATGTCAGGCCTCCGTGTGTCCTCTGTCAGCTTCCACAGATGAATTTGGTCCTAGAAGCAACCTCTTTATCCTTCATGCTGTTCTGTTTCTGTGAAGCCCCTTCCTTGTGCCAGGGAGTCAGCACCTGAATGGTTGGGTTAACGGTAGACACAGGCTCGTCCGTGGCAGAAGGAAGTCAGTGTGCTCCATTCAGTGACTCACGGTGGAGGGCAGAGAGCACAGTAGGAAGCTATGGACTCAGCTTAGAGCTTAGACAACAGGGGGACACATTCTTTCCTTTCACTATCTCTGTGGTGACGGGAGAGTCAGGTACCTCAGAGTAGATGCTCAGCAGGTGGATCTGGTTGGCGGAAATGCCGAAGGGAGAGGCAAAGATATCTTTAAAGCTCTTCCCTCAGACCAAATCATAAAGTTCTCCATGTTTGCAAACCCCCTTTGAGATCCTGAGCCATATTAAGTACGTACCTTTTGAGGATGTGCTTAGCCTGAGGCTGTTCTAGGCTCCCTTCTCCTGTGGCTCCAAAACCTGCCTGCCAAGGTGCAGCTCTCACAAGGACCTGGACCTTCCTTCCCCACGTCTCCCCTTCCTTCTGCTCATCCGACTCTCAGGAACCTTGCTCTTTCTTTCAGATCTTCAGATCTGCCAGCCGTGTGGAAAAGAAGAGTGGGCACCTGTGGGAAGCACGACTTGCTTCTCACGTACTGTGGAGTTCTTGACTTGGCACGATCCTGTCTCTGTGGTGCTACTCACAGCTAACACACTACTGCTGCTGCTGGTGGTTGGGACCACCTGCCTGTTCGTAAGGCATCTTCATACGCCTGTTGTGAGGTCGGCCGGAGGCAGGATGTGCTTCTTCATGCTGGGTGCCCTGGCTGCAGGGAGTTGCAGCCTCTATGGCTTCTTTGGGGAGCCCACGGTGCCCACATGCTTACTGTGTCGGCCCCTCTTTTCTCTCGGTTTTGCGGTCTTCCTCTCCTGCCTGACAATCCGCTCCTTCCAACTGGTTGTCATCTTCAAGTTTTCCACCAAGGTCCCCATGTTCTACCACACTTGGGCCCAAAACCATGGGGCCAGTCTATTTGTCGCTGTCAGCTCCACGGTCCACTTGCTCATCTGTCTCATGTGGCTTGCACTGTGGACCCCACTGCCCACCAGGGAATATCAGCGCTTCCCCCATCTGATAATTCTTGAGTGCACAGAGGTCAACTCTGTGGGCTTCCTGCTGGCGTTCACCCACAATATCCTCCTCTCCATCAGCACCTTTGCCTGCAGCTACCTGGGTAAGGAACTGCCAGAGAACTATAACGAAGCCAAATGTGTCACCTTCAGCCTGCTCCTCAACTTCATATCATGGATCACCTTCTTCACCATGTCCAGTATTTACCAGGGCAGCAACTTGTCCGCGGCCTATGTGATGGCGGGGCTGACCACTCTGAGCGGCGGCTTCAGCGGTTACTTCCTCCCCAAGTGCTATGTGATTCTCTGCCGTCCAGACCTCAACAATACAGAACACTTTCAGGCCTCCATTCTAGACTACACGAGGCGCAGTGGCTCTACCTGATCCGCGGGGACTGTAGGGGCGGGGCAGACCGGAAGCCTCTCGTGTCTTGAGGGTGGCAGATCCAGTGGGGGCGGAGGGCCTGAGGTGTCTGGGAGAGCTCAGCCATGGCTTGCGATGTATAAGCACACAGAAGAATCCAGCCTAATAAAGACCTGAATCGTTGTTCGTGGCGTCTTAGTTGCGCTTCCGTTCCAGGGGGTGGTGGGGGGAGCTTGGGACCGCACATCAGTTAGCTGGATCTGGAGCCCAGCGCCCAGCTCGATGTTGCTAGGCGACTCCAGGAAGGAGACCCAGCGCGGCTGGATGCAGGTATGGCCCCGCCCCTCAGCGGCCCATTGGTCTTCATCTGGGGCTCCGCCCTCGGGGCGGGGAACAGAAGAGCGCCACGCCTCCAAGGCGTCCGGTTCTGGTCCGCGCGCCCCAACGTCACATCCGGCGTGGCGACGGCGGCGTCTCCGCGCAGGGGGCCGGGCAGTAGTTAAGTCTTGTGGGCGGTGGAAGTGGTCTATCCCGGAGCAGTGAGGTCGGTGTGAGCCGGGAGGACCGGCCCGGTGAGGAGGGTGCGGGAGAGGGTGGAGGCTAACCGCCCCGGGCGCTGACCAGAGTGTGGCGGCCGCTTTCCGCTGCTCGGGACCTGCAGGCGCGGCGTGGGCTTGGGTCACCTGAGCGCAGCCGCCGGCCTTGCCCTACTGGCTGTGCCTCGGGTGCGCGGCGGATCAGTTCGGGTTCACGCTTGTCTATCCCCAAATTTGCATTTTTATTTATTTTTTCACTTGCACCCTACCCCTGTCCTGTCCTGCACCGCACCATGTGCTCCCACTCTGCTTTCTCCCCGCCAACCCATGCCACTCCCCGCCCCTGAGAGGCTGTCACTCCGCTCTGGCTGTGCTCCGCGTGCAAACGTCTAACCTTGACCCAAGCCTTCATCCCGAAGCAGGTGGCTGTTAAAGGGTCCAACTCACGCCACTGTAAGGTCTTTCTCGATCGGGCTGGCCAGAGTGTCCTGTTTGCCTTCCTTTCCAGATTATGGACAGTTCCTTCGTACAGCACAGCGTGAGGGTTCTGCAGGAACTCAACAAGCAGCGGGAGAAGGGCCAATATTGCGACGCCACGCTGGATGTGGGGGGCCTGGTGTTCAAGGCACACTGGAGTGTCCTGGCCTGTTGCAGCCATTTCTTCCAGAGGATCTATGGGGATGGCTCAGGAGGCAGCGTCGTCCTTCCTGCAGGCTTTGCTGAGATTTTTGGTCTCCTGCTGGACTTTTTCTACACTGGTCACCTCGCCCTCACCTCAGGGAACAGGGATCAGGTGCTCTTGGCAGCCAAGGAATTGCGGGTGCCAGAGGCTGTCGAGCTGTGTCAGAGCTTCCAGCCCAGGACCTCAGGGGGACAGGCACAGAGTGTCCAGAGCGGACTGGGACCACCTGCCTCCCAGGATGTGAAAAGCCACCTCAAGGAGCCAGCAGACTTGGACGAGGAGGAAGTTTTCAGGACTCTGAGCTTGGCCCCTGGGGATCAGGAGTCCAGAGACAGTCAGCAGCCCCAGCTCAACTCCCCTGCACAGAGCAGCCCCTCCTTCCTCTGCGGGAAAGGCAGGCAGGCTGTGAAGCCTCGTCTCTCAGAGGACAGAGAATCTGAGGACTACAAAGAGCCTCCAAGGCCCTTTGAGGCTGGAGGTGCCCCGCTGCAGGGCGAGAGCAGTGAGGTACTGCTACCAGGGTGCAAGAATTGGGGGGGGGGGGAAGCTAGAGGGTACAGATGGATGCTTCTGGAGTTAAACATGGGAGGCCAGTGGCCTCAGGTGACCTTTCTGCAAGCTACACTTAGCCATGGTTGTCAGCTTCCTGGGGGTGGAGTGAGCATCAGGGGTACAAGTGTTCCCCGAGGATAGAGAAATCTGGCCAGCTCCCTGGAAACAGAGCCCCTTTCCTCTGAGGCCAGGATTTACCTGTGGTCTTCCCTGGACCCCTGCAGAAAGGGGACCATCCGGGATAGGGCTTGGGTTGGAATTCAAGCTGGGTCCCTGAAGCTACTGCTGGTACTTTGGTGACCCTGCCCCTCCTGCTGCCTCCTCTTACTTTAGTGGGAAGTGGTGGTTCAAGTTGAGGATGACGGCGATTCTGTTTCTGAGCCTGAGACTGTGCTGACCAGGAGGAAGTCAAAAGTCATCCGAAAGCCCTGCGCTGAGGAGCCAGCCCTGAGTGCGGGTTCCCTAGCAACCGAGCCCACTGAGAACAGGAAAGGTGCAGCGGTGCAGGTTGAATGTCCCACGTGTCATAAAAAGTTCCTCAGCAAATACTACCTAAAAGTCCACAACAGGTAACCGCTCTGTTTTTCTAGTTTTTTTTTCCCCGTGTGCCCTTCTGTGTTGAGGTCCTGTAGTCTCCTCCTCTGGGCTCTGTGGGGGCTGGAGGGCTCTATGTTAGGCCCACGCAGTGCCTGGTTGGCGTGCCTCTCCGCCCTCCCTGTCTTCCTGTGGATCGTGGGTTTGTGGATCCTAAACAGTAGGTTCTACTACTGTGACTTCTGCCCACGTGAGACAAATCTGGCTCCTTCCTGAGCTGGAGTGGAGGTTTGACTGTAGGGCGGTCTGAAGTCTGGCAGTGTAGGCTTTGACAAGAGGCTAATCCCCAGGACTGAGGCCGCCTGTGTTTCTGGGGATATTAGCTCTGGAAGTAAGAAGTATAAAGGACCATTTGTCCAGCTCAGACCCACATAGAAATGTGGAGTTAAAAAGAGAAAGACTTTACTATGTAAATTTACATAGACCAAGCAGGCCTTGAACTCAGAGATTACCAGTCTTTGCCTCCCGAGTGCTGGTGTTAAAGGCATACTCCATCATACCTAGTTCTAGGACTGTTTTTGTTTAAAAAATCAACCGGGGACGCTCTATATAGCCTCTAACTCACTATGTAGACCAGACTGGCCAGGAACACAGAGATCTGCCTGTTTCTGCCTCCAGAGTGTTGGGATCAAAGACCTGTGTCCCACACCTGGCTTGTTTTAAGTTAAAATTACTTAAAAGTGAGTGCCACAAACACAAGTCACTCAGGTGCTCAGTAGCCATGCGACTGTGCTAGGCTGGTACCGAGCCAGGTTGTGCTGAGCCACGTGTTGTCGGTATGATACTCCGGGAAGCTGCTGGTACTCACCTGGAGTGGGCTTAGGACCCATTTCCCATCCTGTGCTTTGGCATGACCTTCAGTGCTAGGGTTTGACCCCCCAGGGCCTTTACCATGCTACATCCCTAGCCCTTTTTCAGTTAGACAGGCCTTATCTAAATTACTGAGGCTGGCTGGAGTTAGTGATCCTTGTGCCTCAGCTTGGAGTAGCTGTGAGTGAGCTGGGGGTATAGCTCAGTCTTCGTGTGTTTGCCTAACACTTGAGGCCCTGGGTTCAATCCCCAGTGCTGGGGAAAAAATATCCAAGCCAAGTAGCTGGGATTACCTTACAGGCTTCTGTCGCCCACCTAAGCTAGAAGGTAAAGAAGCCGTTGACTGAGAAAACCAAGCTGTTGGGAACAGAGCTACCAATAATGTCTTGAGCTTGGAGCAAGCCTGGCTAATTCACTCAGACCTCCCATATCCTCCTGGGCCCTGGGCCCTCTCAGTATGAAATAGGAAGCACTGGAGGACTGTGAGCCAAGAAGTGATGAGGGCTGCCTTATCTTCAAAGACTTCTGAACTTAATGGAACCTGCTGGTGAGATGGTGGGGACCCCGTGAGCTGCTGCAGCCATCCTCGTGACGTCAGGGAGATGAGAGCAGATCTGGTGGCGGCGTTTACATTTTATTTACTCGTGGGGGTGCAGAAGCCAGAGGACACCTTGAGGAGTAGATGTTCTCTCACCACGTGGGTTCCTCTGGCTTGGCAGCCAAGTGCTTTTGTCCACTGAACCATTTCACCCGTCTACCATGGGGTTGAAAGTGGAGCCCACAGAAAGGAGGCTACATAACCAGGCTGTGCCAGTCAGCTCTAACTCAGCCATTTAGCGAGCCTGGCAGAAGTAGGGTTGGCTCCTGGCTCCCAGCTCTCCCTCCAGGATGGGGCCACTTGGACCTGTGGCTACTGCGTCT